TCATGAGACTTTCCTCCTCCCCCCCCCCCCCCCCCTAATCTTCCAATGATTTCATTGATGGAAAGATGTGAATAACTGTCCTAATTTCATAAAAGCAGTTATGATGAAGCTCAGGTCAAAAATGGAACTCAGATTGATTTCTGTGGTGGCTGTAAGGCAACACTTTAAGAGTGAAAAACTAAATTTTTAAAGTCCTCCCCAGAAATCCCAGTAACAATACTAAACAAGCAAAAGTATTTTACTGGTAGGTGAGTGAATCTTTCTTTAGCAGATCATTTTGCTGCTCTTTTAGAAAAGATCATAATTATGCTTTTACCAATAAAAAATGAGATTGCTGGGATGTTTCCGTGGCTGTCTGAGTTTCCTAGACAGAGTGGGAGAGGGAAAATGCTCTGCCATAAGTGGAACATCTCTGGTTTTCTATTGTCTAAATTCATTTATTCCTGCACAAGAGCAGGACTCATTTCTCTTACCTTTAACCATCTTAAAGTTAAGTGTTTGTTTTAAGCTAGTCATCTAGCCTGCCTCTATAATTAATGGATACAGATAAGCACTTCCAGAAGGCAATTCATTCTATCCTAAAATAGCTATCTTAGGTAGTAATTTATTCCTAGCTAAATTAGCCAGCTTAAACTGCTTAATTTTGGCACCTAAATCAGGCAAGATGAACCTCGGTGCAAGCATAAGCAAAGACAGCAAAGCTAGTGAAAGTACTGGGACTTACAGGGTGAGAACGAAAGTATCTGTTGAACAGAAAACATGATGGACTGAGGTCTTCTGTGAAACCCAAATTGATTTATGCTTAGCAAGCCTGCCTAGGCTGGTAGAAATCTTTGTGCAGTACGCCTTATGTTGCAGGATACCTGTAAGCAGTGAAACACTAATACTCATAGAATCTCTGCATTTAGGGTAACAGAGTTGATGAGATAAGAAGATTATAAAATCTAGAGGAAGCCACATACCTTGGTCCAGGTATGAACAGACAAGAAAGAAAGCTTGTGATATGAAGGCGTTATATGGCTTCTGGGCATGAATAATCTACTGCTCACAGATCTGCCACAAAAATGGAATCGAGATTCTTTAAAAATAACTCAAGCTTCATGAGCACTGTAAAAAATGACTTACCTGAGGAGATGTGTTCAGGATTGTGAAGACTAACCCATCTCCTCATGGAATTGGGTGCTTCTCAAGTGACAAGAAAAGAGGAGGATGAGGAAGTGAATTACTCAGTTGATTGTTTCAAAGGCACAGCTTAGCATTTAGGTGAGAAAACATTACATTTAAAAAAACTAGTTGTTGACACCAAGGAGTTGGAAATTGAACCAGGTCAGATTTTCCTTTTGTTTACATAGGATTAAGTAAAAAACTCCATGCTTCACTGAAGCGACTAGCCTTTTCTGGGGGCATTAGGTTAGATTTGCACTGCCCATTCTGGGAGATGGAATATCTATGCCACATCATTGTACTGGCAGTGCCATGTCCATCCTGATCAGCCACTGTAAGAAACAGACACTGGGGGGGGAGGAGGGGGGTTGTGGCAACCAGAACTAATCTGGCACACGTGTTACTGAGTTGGAGTAGAGGCAATGTAACACTTACGTATATACTCATATTCATATACATGGAAATGAAAGCAGAACTTGTTTCAAAACAAATCTTTGTTTAAACTCCCTAAAAGTCAGGAGTCTGGTCTATGCCCCCAGGTCTCCCCTGAAATCACTGCAGAGAAGTAATCGGCGTGGCAACTCACCCTAGAATAGTTATGACTAAAATAGATCCTTTGCTTCTCTCTTTTTTTTTTGTTTCTCACAGAATAAAAGAGAAGTTTAGATAGCATGTTTGGACCAGATACCCAGTTGTTAGAATCACAGACTGGTTTGGGTTGGAAAGGATCTCACAGCCAACCCAGCCCCAACACCTGCCATGGACAGGGCTGCACCCCACCAGCTCAGGCTGCCCAGGGCCCCATCCAACTTGGTCTTGAGCGCCACCAGCTTCTCTGGACAATCTGTTCCAGGACCTTAACAATCTCTAAGTAAAAAAAATTCCTCCTATTATCTAATCTAAATATGCTCTCTTTTATTTTAAAATCTCTCCCTCTTATGACTATCAGACCATGTCAAAAGTCAGACCTTCCACTGCTTAAAAGCCCTCCTCAAGTACAACAAGGCCACAATGAGGTCTCCCTGAAGCCTTCTCTTCTCCAGACTGAAAAAGCCCAGATTCCTCAAACTTTCTTCATAGGAGAGGTTAGAAAGTTAACAACAACTGAGATGTATCCAGTTCAAAAGATTATTTTAAGCCATTGACAATTTCATTGACAACAGTTCTACCATAAGAATTATTCTAAGGCTCCCATAGTTTCCTCATGCCAAATATCACAGTCCCAGGAAATTCAGTCTTCTGCTCAAGGAGAACAGATATTCTAATGCATTTGGGTACAGGAATGTTGATACATATGAATTACTGCGATGCCAAATTAGATCAACTGATTTATAAGGTCATGTTAGATTATTTTTTATATCTTGCAAATATCCAGACACAAAGAGATAAACAGTTTATTCCCATACATTTTTATGCTAATAAATTCCACGCTTACTTGCAAGATTTTAAAGAAATATTTTATATATCATGTCTGATAATCATTTGATTATTTGCTGTATCAAGCTAAATTTCATGTAACAATAAATACAAACAAGTATTATAAGATTAAAGCAGAACAGTGTATGAACAAATGCATATACATAAAAGCTGAGGGAGACCAATAAAAGGAGGAATCATTTGTAAAGTTCAGCCATTTTCTGTCCCTCTGCATACAGGGAAAACTCCAGAGTATGTGAGAACAAATGAAAAAATGAGATAATTGACTGAAGTGCAGTACTTTCTTTATAAACTTTTGCCTAAAGCAGAAGGGAAGCATATAATCCTGAATGGATAACTTATGTCCTTGGAGTTTAAGGGCCATAAGCTGCAATAGTCCTTTTTATGATATCGTTTTTCTTAATCTGGTTAATATTTGAATAGGAAATAAATAGCTTTATCATGAATAATAATAATTATCACATAAATAATTGCTTAAAGCAATTTTTTTTTTTGCTCTCGTGGAAATTATAATATCTAAGTTATCTTAAGAATATGGAGATTATGGTATAATATAATAAGGAAAGGGATTTTGAGGGAATGTCTGAAAACAATGAAGCAATGTCAAAGATAATGTGTTAGTTGTGCTTGGGTTTAATGTTGCTAATTTAGACATGATGGCATGCTAGAAATACTTCCTGGGCTTTCTTTTATATATATGAGCTCATAAGCTAATGAAAATTTAAGTTTCTGAAGAATATATATACTTCTGCTGAAAATAGTTATCTTTGCTCAATGAAAAGCTTTACAGATAAAAACTGTAGCATGTGATGAACAGTTCTGAGATAAAATAGTACATAACATTAGGAAATATGTATATAAGTGCATGTCTTAGTGTTCAAACAGCAAACTGTGAGATACGGACAACTTGTATTGAACTCCTATGTTCATAATGCACTTGCTTAAAGATGCAACTACCACATAAACATCAGGAGCAATGCTACAGCAGCAATGTGGTTACTGATGTGCGGTTACCTTGCCTAGAAAACGTTATATTACCTTTTATATAGCTGTATTATCTTCTTCCTTACGATTCTGTGTTCTTTTTTTTTTTTTTTAATGCACACAAAATATTTTCCTTCAGAAGACTGAAGAGATCGTGAATCATACTTGACAGCTGTCAGTTTAGCACTTCTAGAAGACACTCAGATACCATATTGATGGAAGAACTCCAAGAAGCTGAAGAGAACAGTCCTGTGCTACCAGGAAAACTGACATGCTGGTCTAATAAGTGTTTTCAGAATCTTAATATTTAGGAATTTGCGATCTAGAGCTGGCTTATCTCACAAATAAACACATGCCACTCATAGGATACTGTCAGTAGAAAGACATGGCAATTTAAAACTGACACCACTGATAGAAATCTAAGGAGAAAAAAGAATGAAATTACCATGCTCACGTGTAAGGATATTATGACATTGGAGTATCTCTTTTCATTTGTTAAAACAGTAGAAATAATAAAAGCACCTAATCACATTTATCCATTTTAATATCTAGCAATATATTCCATTTACATGCTACATTTCAGAAGCCCTGACAGAAAATTTGACTTCAAGACTCAATTTCTAACATATGTTGAGGTCTTATCTGGGTACTCTTTGGAGCTCATTTTTGGAAAGTGTGCAGCTGTATAATTTCTAAGCATACACATCACTTCAGCCCATGCTCATTCACTGTCTGTTATCAGCTCTTCATGCATCACCACAATACATCATTTAGAGCCAGGAATGCTCCATTTGTGAGATGCACACTGACAGTGGGGAAGCATCAAATCTGAGGACACTACTTCCAGCATTTTTAACAAACAAATGTTTTCCTCTTCGTATGCGTTTATATGAAACAGCAACTATCATCCTCTGCCCTTTTGAGGGTAGGACCGCAGCAATGAAGGACCACAGCAACATTCCATAGTAAGGATTGAAGACATGAAACTCTAAGAAGTTCTAATGAACTTGGCAAGATTTTGTTCCATCAGTCCAGAGAGGAAACCAGAGAAACGGGAGGAATTCCAAAGTAGAAAATATTCTATACTCTGAAACCAGTGGCCAACAAGCGTAATTACTTGCCTCCTATATCCTCCAGTTAGAATCTGGGATACACTGGGATACTTTTCATAGTTGTGATGATATACGTCAGTGATTAACAAAAGGTACTCAGAGGTAACCTGTGTAGCAGCTACCCAAACATGAAAGGTGATGTAAGTTTTTAGCTCTTTTTTCCTGTTTCCCTGCTCTGATGTGTGAGCAGAACTTGGAATATGAAGACAAGTTGCATAATGCATTGTGGAGACAATGGAGAAAACAAGTACGGGAATCTTTCTCCCTCCCTCCTTCCCTCCCTCCCTCCCTTCCTTTCTTCCTTCTTCCCTTCCTTCCTATTAATCCCTAATCTTAAATGAGTAATTGCACTGCTGTGTCCACTTCCATGTAAACAAGGAGGACTTTTTGTCACCATGGAGACAAAATACTATGACTACTTTGACAGTAATTATGTTATGTCAGATCAATGTTGAAATGAGAGTCCACAGCACCTTCTTCTTCTTCTGCGTGGCGTGATCTGAGCTTATCAGTTCTTCTCTGGCATTTCCCCATCTCTTTTTCCAGCTATGCTTTGAACCTGACTCTACCTTCCTGTCAGGTTTCTTCCAATGGCTCTGGCACAGGTACAAGTCCTTGGTAGATCAATTCAGACTGATGACTGTAGAGAAAGCGAAACCAGCAAAAATCATGATGAGTGCTGGAGAACTAAAGAAAGTGGGCTGGGAGCAGAAGGAAGGACAGTTTGTTTTGAGAGTAATGACCTGTTTCACTGGCTTTGCTCTGTTGTCCATCATTGTGAACTTGCCAACTAACTTATGGGTTTATGGCAAGTTGAAAGAGTAAATATTCTACATTTTTGTGACATTATCCAACCAATATCAGAGCTTTCAAAAAAATTCAGAAAACAAAGAACCAAATGCAAGGATATATCCATAAGAATATACGAGTAACTTGTGCAGTGAGTTGGTACTTTTCCCTCCCAGGGAAGTAGATTGTCCACTGAACAGATCCTTAGACCTACTGCCAGCAAAGAGCTTTCTATGGCTTACATATTGTAACTCTAGAGAATCTAAATATTTCAAAAGAAATGTGCTTAGAGTTGCTTTCTGCCCACCTTGTCCACCTGGATTTGACTTCACTGGATACAGTACAAAGAAGAGAAAGTACAACTGGCTGGTCACAAACCCAACCCTGATGGGAAAAAAAAAAATCTAACTTGATTTCCACCTCCATCATCAAATATGGAAACCAAATGACTAGAAATTATTTTTTTATCTGGAAAAACAAATTAAACAAACATTTATGTGTGGGTTTTTTTTTTATTTTCTTTTTTCTTTTTTCTTTTTTCTTTTTTCTTTCTCTTCTGATTCTGACTTGATTTTTTTTAAACAGCAAAACATATTTTTCACCATATTTTAATTCTCTTGGAAAACTAAGAGAGAAGGAACCCACAGCTGAACAGTATGGGCAAATTATCTGTTTCAAATGAAATACTTTTTTCATTGAAAATATGTTTGAGATATTTAAAGAATTTCTACCAAGTTCAAGCAAGACATGACTGAGTATCAGCTCACAATGATGTAAAATTTTCAGTGTTTATATGCCTCTATTTTTTGGCCAATCGCAAAGAGTGCCAAAACTTCTCTGCTCAGTTTCAAAATGGTCAAATCTAGTATTGGTTATGAAAGATTTGTGGGATTAAAACACTTTTCCATGGTAGGATACTAAACTTAGCATTAAAAACTATGCAACATTTTCTATAACATCAGTGCTCACTTTAGTTTGCATCCTTGAAATGAATTTCTGGTCTCTGCTAGCTCATCAGGTGAGATGCTACAGTGTCAATGAAACTGGTTCTGTTTGGAGCTGGAAAGCCATTGTGACTTTCCATCAGCTCAGATGCAAGCTGCCAGAGAAGGAAGGAGGTAAGCTGGCAGGATATCATCAAGGAATCAGCTGCATCTTTCTCAAAACTGAATCAACTGTGAAATAGTTCACTTCTGGTTTTGATAAATTGATTTGAGTGACTGAAGGAACTGGGGCTGTTTAGTCTGGGGAAAAGGAGTGGAGACCCTATTGCTCTCTTCCAATATCTGAAAGGTGCTTACAGCGGGAATGGGGTTGGTCTCTTCTCACTGGTGACACGACAAGGGGAAATGGCTTCAAGTTGCACCAGAGAAAGTTTAGGTTGAATATCAGGAAAAACTTCTTTACTGAATGGGTTGTTAAGCACTGGAATTGGCTCCCCAGGGAGGTGGTTGAGTCACCATCCCTGGCTGTTTGGACGTTTTTCAAATACCTTTTGGATGTGGTGCTCAGGGACATGATTTAGTGGAGGGTTGAAAGAGTTAGGATAGTATGGTTAGGTTGTGATTGGACTTGATGATCTTTAAGCTCTTTTCCAACCTGAGCAATTCTATGATTCTATGATTTTCTTCAGCAGAGCTAACTTTTCAGATGATCATCTAGGTCATTTCTACTACAGCCAGACAAGTTCAGTTGAAGTGGGAACACAGTATTTCCTTGGTATTTTCTCTTCATTTTGCAATGTCCATCCAAGAACTCCATGTGTCTTTTTGATCATTTCTGCTCTCTGAGAGGTTCAATATGATACATGTCAACCATATGTACTCCCACTTGCTCCTACTTACCTGTACTGGTGTGGCTGTAGGGAACACTTGGATTAGCTGTCCACAACTCTTCTGCGGCAGTGACCTCCAGTGGGAAGGAGCAGAAAATTTGAAAGTGTTGGATGACAAATCATCACTGCCAAATGCAGAAAGGCCAGGGGAGGTGCATGATTCCTGGCAGCTGTCTGCAGGAATAGGGGGAGGAGCATACACTGAAGAGACTCTGAATCACCAGCATTGTTCGGACAAGATGGCCTTAGGAAGCCCAACGTTCATGCCAACACAAACTTGGAGAGTCACACTTGCTCTGGGTCTCAAAGATGAGAAAACAAATTCCCATTCCAGTGTTGGCTATATATGGTGATTGGCTATATAGGTGATTGTAAATCACCTATATGGAACTTCATGAGATTTGTGCTGCTGAAAATGCTTGAAATATATGTTCCAGAATTTAATGTAAAACAATAATACAATATTTAAAGTATATTTGACATCTCATTTGCTATAACAGAGCCATATAAATGTTGCAAACAACACCTAAAAATTACAGTATGTTAAACTTCTGCAGTTAACTCATGCTTTTTCTTATTTTTAAGACATTTATCAGTTTTAATACCCAGCCTAATTTCTAACTCATTGTAATATTCCTGCAGTTTCTCACTGTATCATTTTGTGGCTGTTTCCTTTCTGTTTAATATTTGCTTATTTTAGTTTAAATCCCTGGAGCAGAACCCACAAACCAAACAAATACAGAAAACAGAGAGCAGCTCAAATGTCCTTGGAGACACTCAATTTTTTGTTTGCTACCATTTGTCATCCTCTGCTCAGAGAGAGATCAACAGTTTTTAGCACACAGATCAATATTCTCTTAACCCAGACCTAATCTAAGGAGAGTTTCCCCAGGTTTCACCTTGGCCTACTCCTATGTGCCACAGTTGCCCTTTTTTTCAGCAATAATTTTGTCTGTGTAAGACAGCAATTTTTCATCCTTTGGTCAAAACTGGTGACAAAAGAGGGAATAATGGTTCCTGACATATCAAATGATAGATTTGACACATGGCATGCTGAGCTGGGAGCTTTCACGTGCCAAAGTAGAAAGACAGATAAGCAGTCTAATGGCCCTCCTGACATTGCTGCCTCTTTTATCCCTGGTATACCAAAACAAGCTCTGCAGTTTTTTCTTTTTCTTTTTTTTTTTCTAAAGAAGTTGTTTTTTTTTTTTTTTTCGTTTTTTTTTTTCTTTCTCTATAACTCTGGGCAGGAAGCAAGGAAATACACTCTACTCCCGCCCAAAATAAACGTTTCCCTGTCCTGTAAAATGATCAATCTATGCCCTTTTCCTCCAGCACAGTAAGGGCAGTACAACATGCTGCTTGAGGAAATACTAACAAATATAGCCAGTGAGAGGGAAACAGATGGGACTAAGAAATTAAACCAGCAGATTTCTGGAAGGTATTCAAAGAGGAGAGTTTATAATACTGAAACAGAACTGCTCTTTAATTTTTTTTTTTTTTTTCATTATTATTATTATTTTTTAAAGCAATGATTATCAAGATCTACCTTCAGCAGGGCTTGCACCTTCCCTGTTAACTTCTGCGGACCGATAAGAAAGGCCCATTTTGTTATAATTCTGGTGCAACTTAAATCATATCACTCAAAAGTCAGTGCCAGCCTGGAGAAAGAAGTCCTGCAAGCCTCCCTACCTTCAGCACCCTGGGACAAACACAGAGGTCTGTGTGCCACAGGGCATGGCTCCAGGCGTGGGGATCGTGTTACATCTTTACACAAAAAAGCTTCTTTCAGAATCTAAACTAACAAAACAGGAACAACTTTTATTTCTGTATGGTTTCCTCTGGAGCATGTGTTCACATTTAAAAACCTGACCTGTATGTCATTTGCTTGCATTCAGCATTATTTGTATTGCTTTAGTATTACACTGTGACAGCCAGTCCTAACCCTGCTCGCTTACCAACAGCCTATGTAAGGACTTCAGCAAAATGCTGTTTATCCTCCTCTAGTACTGGTTCATAAATTCCTTGTCACCCACTTTCTTTTTTCTCCCCTTTTCCATATTTTATGCCCGGACAGTGGTGTCAGCAAGCCAGCTGATTTTTCTCCACAGTAATCGTTCTGTGGACATTTTAAATTTGATCCAATAAAGCAAGAGAAAAAAATGAAACCAAGGAAAATATTTTACTCACAAGGTCATCAAACATCGGAACATGATGTTTGTCACCCTGCATTTAAAAATATCACAATGTTTGAGTGTTCTGGAGTATTTCATAAATGCAATTTTCATAAATGTTTAAATTTACATTGTATACAGAGGGAAACAGTATATATATATATGTATGTAGATCAAATGTTTCTTTTTTTTTCTTTCGCTTTCTTGCAATGATTTTTTTTTTTTTTTTTTAACCCATACACTTAATGAAAAACATTTCCCCTTAAGTATATACTTCAGCACATTCTATGATATTTTTCACAGTTTCTACATTTTTGACGTTTCAGCCAAACCTCTAAGAAGTAGAAAAGCACGTAGAAGAATGTGGAACCAAAACATCTAATTTTACTCATACTGTTCACCAGTAACTGGGAAGTGAAAGTCTTTTAAAGCACAAAACAAAAGGCATCGATGAGACATCAAACCAAATAAAAATATGTTATTCATTAATCTTGATTGCATAAAGTGAGAAAAAGATGCATCACTGAGATATGAAGAGGTAAGTTCTTGGGTGCAGAAGTTCCAAATGGAAAGCAACCATTCTGAGTAATTCAAAAGGCACAAATACTTAGGCTTTAGCAACACCTATGTATGAGAAAGCCTATTTTCACTGAACATGGTAAATCACAACACTGTAGAATAAGGCATGGTGAAGCACATTGCAACTATTTCTGACTTTCAGTGTGCTTTCCTAAAAATAAAGTGTAGCTATGGCTAAATTTACTGTAAATGAACTATATAAAACAGATTTCAGCTTAGAAGACAAATGTAAATATTGTTAAAAGACAGTCTCTTGCTTCCCTTATAATAAACGTACTGCAAATGACTAGGTTGTGATATTGTTTGCTTCAACAAGGCCTGCAAGTATATGTTTTTTGTCAAAATATTCTGATTTATCAATTTGGTTCAAACAAAAAACACACATAAGAATATAAAGAGTTAAGATGATGTTTCTTGTTATAGAATTAATCACATTCATATTAGCAGTAGTAAATGTCATGTTGGCACCTTTTCTTTCTCACACATTACAGTTTCAAGTCTTTGCTATGAAGAAATAATGAAGTAAAGATATGCAGTGCCATATACCATGCATCTTTTTTGTCAGTCTGCATAAGAAATGAATTGTATCTGCTACTAAGGAGGTCACGGGGGCAGCAAGTTAAGAAGAATGCTTAAAGAAAGGACATGTCAAAGGAAACAAGAACTTATTTTTTCAATACTTTCTAACAAGTACTGCAGTTTGGGGAAATTAAATACTCATAATAAATACCCACCTCTCCTGAAAACGTTTATTGCTTTTCATTGCTGCAAAGTTAACCTTGGTGACCAAATGACCTTGAAGTCCCCACTGCAAACTCATGAAGATCAATAAAAATGGTCTAATGTTACAAGCCCTAAAATTCATGCTTCAGTAGTAGTGTGATCAACGGGGAAAATGCTGCTTTATTGAGAAGATAAAAAACTGAGGAATAGAAAAAGATCATTCCAGATGAGCATTACATCTCATGAGGTTATTCCTTAGTGCACTTTTTCCTTTTTTTTTTTTTTTTTAATGACATGCTTCATAGCTAAGCATGAAAGGTAAAAAATGGGCAAAAAATCTTCATTGCCAGCAAGAAAAAAAAAACTGTTTTTGACAGTTGGATGATGCTTGTGTCTTGTGGTAAATTTTCAGCTTTGCCTACAAACAGAGCCTTTCCTTCCAGCAAACGGTATGCATATCTTAAGTGTGGAGTTAAGTCAGAAGCAAGCTATTGGTGTGCCAGATATTGCATCAAAATTACAAAATGCATTTTAATTTTGTGCAGTGTCTAAGAATTAATGCCAAGTGTACTGTCAGCATATAGTAAAGCATTTCTCTAGTCATGGGGAATGATTGTCTGAGATACAGCAGCCTCCACTGCCTTCTCTCCTGTAGGTGACACTGCTGCTAAGTGGAGCTTCTGAAGAGAACTAGATGAAGAGATCTGTGACTGTGGGTTTTAGAAAATGAAATACATAGGAGCATGACATTTTTTTTTTTAAGTTCAAGGTCAAAACAGGAAAGAGGAGAAGCTTTAGGAAAAAGGCTTAGGAAATAATGAG